TGTCATTATCCTCCCTTGTATTTATCCATATGTTGTAGTTATCCTAATCATTATAGGATTAGGATAATCATCCCCTTTATTTGTAGCAATCCTTATCTCCTAAGGAATATGCTTTATTCTCTTGTATGTATATATATATGTGTAACCACGTGATTAATAATACAATGAGAGTTACAACAAACCTTCTTATTTCACAACAATAACTATACTTTCTTCAAAATTTAAACATTTTTTTGGATAATCCAAAGATGAGAAGATAAATCATCAGTAAAAGATGTAAAATAAAATTATCAGTAAAAGAAACCTATACTTACAAAATTAACTCAAATTTTCACGGTCAAGGTAAAATACTAAAATCCACTTACTTGACAATGCCGACGCACATGAAAAGACAACAGTATTTTTCCCCCAAAAAAGTCCAGCTGTTCGTTACCACAAATATACATATACAAATACTACAAATTTACCAGACGTATACGCCAATACAAACGGTCATATTATTTATCTATTGATTTCTAATTACTATATAGTATATCTCATCCCTTCGGGGACATCGATAAAAATATAATATATAGTTTCTAAAAAACCTTTAACTCTTTCAACCATATAAAAAGATACCTCAAACGATTAGTTTTCCACTTTTCCCATTATTCCGAAACTAGAAAACATGGCCAAAGCGCCACCGTCAATCTCTCTCCTCCTCCTTCTCTCCACCGCCGTATTTCTCACCATCCCTGCCGCAATATCCGCCATCGGCGTCAACTACGGAACTCTCGGAAACCTCCCACCGCCGACTCAGGTTGCAAACTTCCTCAAAACTCAGACTTCTATCGATAGCGTCAAGATCTTCAACGTGGATCCCAATATCCTCCGTGCCTTTGCCGGTACAGGAATCTCCGTCGTCGTCACCGTTCCTAACGGTGATATTCCGGCGTTAGCTAACGGGATGGAAGCTCGTCGGTGGGTTTCAGCTAATATATTACCGTTTCATCCTCAGACGAAGATCAAATATATCTCCGTCGGAAATGAGATTCTGCTCACCGGAGATAGTAACATGATCTCGAAGCTTTTACCGGCGATGAGGAGTCTTAACAGTGCTTTGTTTCGAGCTGGTATCAGAGATATTAAGGTCAGCCTTCTCTCCATTTTTCACAATCTCTAGATTTTTGTATGAGTATTTGGTAAATAAATAAATTAAAATATACTAGTTCGAGGTCATTATTACTAATTTCAGATCTTATTAAGTCTAATTTATTTTTATTTATTAAATCTGAAAATTAAAAGATTTTGAAGGTAGCGATGATAATAATTCAAGGTCTAACCATGTAGCCTATACCACGTGCTGTCTCACCGTCCAAAGTTGTGTATAGATTCGGAACATATATGCAAATTGATGACAAAAACAAAACCAGTTTATAATGTGTTGTCTGCCATGTCTTAAAAGTTTCCTTTCATGTGAACATCATAAATGCCACTAAAAAATCATATACTCAAGCCTTTTTACCAAAAAAAAATCATGTACTCCCGTCATTTCAGATTAGAAGTAGTTTAAGTTTTTACACAATTTAAAAATAATCAGTTATACAATTTTATTCAATTGAAAATAGTTTATTGTAATATTTCATTCTTATTTGACTATTAAACTTTTATAGAATTTATTGTTTTTCTTCAGGTTAAATAAATAAAATAACAAGTCATTTTTTTGGTACTAATAACAAAAGTCATTTTAACACGATTAAGTTAAAACGAAAAGAATCAATACTATTAAACAATTACTATTTGGTAAAACTTTAGAAACTGATAGGTAATCATTATTTCTAATATACCACTTGTTGCAATTTGGTTTCAGGTTACAACCGCACACTCACTTAACATCATAGCCTATGACCTGCACGGTGCACCAAGCAGAGGTCGATTCAGACCTGGCTGGGACAAAGGCATTTTGGCTCCAATCCTTGCTTACCATCGCCAAACCAAGTCTCCTTTCATGGTTAACCCTTATCCTTACTTCGGTTTCGACCCTAAAAACGTCAACTTCGCAATTTTCCGTTCACCGTATAAGGCGGTACGTGACCCGTTCACACGCAAAATCTACACAAACATGTACGATGCTCTCATGGACTCAACTTACTCAGCCATGAAAGCTCTTGGCTACGGAGATGTTAACATCGTCATCGGAGAGACTGGCTGGCCATCCGCTTGCGACGCACCTTGGTGCTCTCCAGCAAACGCGGCTTGGTTCAACCTCAACGTTATAAAACGTGCACAAGGCCAAGGAACACCTCTCATGCCTAAAAGACGGTTCGAGACTTACATTTTCGGTTTGTTTAATGAAGAAGGCAAACCGGGTCCAACCGCTGAGCGAAACTGGGGGCTTTTCCGAGCTGATTTCTCTCCGGTTTACGACGTTGGCCTCCTCCGAAACGGTGGTGGTAAACGTCCAGCACCAGCATTGCCAGCGCCTAGTACTGCTGCTGGTGGTAAATGGTGTGTGGCTAAGTCGGGAGCCACTAATGCGCAGTTGCAAGGGAATATTGATTGGGTGT